TACACAGTTGAAGATTAATTACTTTTTCATAGTAACATATATTAAAAACATAAATATATTACATTAAAAATGTAGGTCAATTATTCCACAATAAGTGTTTCAATCGATAGTATGCATCATTGCACGGAAATAAAAATCTAAATTTATTTTGCATTGTCAGGAGAAAGCACAATGCATTTTGTTTTGCACGCATGCAGTACAGTATGTGTGCTGTATACTGCAGTATGATAGTATGCTGTTCTGAACACGGCCACATTGCATGATTATTTCCCTGTCTGTCATTGGTCATTCAGACCGATAGCCCCGCCCCAAACTCACGTGATTGGCTGAGACATCAAACAGCTCAAATGAAGTGTCTCACTCGTCACATCCGAGCGAAACAGCGACTTTTAAGCGCACGAGTGGGTTCTGCATTAACCTGGTGCGGTGCAGTGCATGCTGGGACTGAGCAGCGATCGGTGGAGGCACAAGGCTGTGATTGGTCATCTGTAACAGGAAGTGGCCGGTGCGGCTTTGATCGTCTGAGAAGCGCAGCGTTAAAGGGCAGAAGCTCAGGGTTCAAGCGTGTGTTCTCGAGTCACTTGAGGTGGTCAGAGCGGAAGGAGTCCTCCACGGCGGGGTCAGCCAGCATCAGGTCACCGTCTGTCAGCATGCCCAGACCCCCCAGCGCCAGCGGGTTGTCAGACGAGAACGGGTCCATCTCGAAGCCCGGGACACACGACAGCGCGCTCGTGATCTCCTTAGACAGTCCTGAGGAATCTCCTGAGACACACAGCAGACTGTGAGCACTGAACTAATAATACATTAAGCAGTGCACACACACACACACACACACACACTCACTCACTCACTATAACCAATCACACACGAGTCTGTTGAGCTTATGAATGCAATGGCGTTCAATGGGAGTTGTTCAGATGAGTTTTTGTTCAGTGCACACGCTCGCTGACTGAATTCAGCTCTCACGTGAATTCTCTCATCATAAACAACAAAGTGCAGATGTACGTATGATGTAAGAGATTCATTCATCAAACCGTGTACAGACAGCTTTACTGATTATAAGGGCAGTTTTTTGAGAGTGCTTAAGCTCACGCTAGACTAAAATAAGTCAATGTTCTTTGACGATGTAAATGTTCCTTGCTCGCTTTCTCTCTCTCTCACTCACACTCTCACTCACACACACACACTCTCTCTCTCACACACACACTCACACACACTCTCTCACTCACACGCACACTCACACACACAAACACACACACTCACGCACACACTCACGCACACACTCACGCACACACACACTCTCACTCACTATCACACACACACACTCTCACACACACACACACACACTCTCACACACAC